GTCGTAGTCGCAGTAGTATGAGCAGGAGGAGCAGGAGGAGGAAGCGAAATCGTTCCGCTCATTTACGCCTCTGGCCGCGGCGGGCTCGTTTGCCGGGCACGGCCGACGACCATCGTGTGCCCGCCAGAGGTTGAAGGCAGGCTTTCGGGCCGTCAAACCTTGAATCCCTGGAGTTCGCTTTGGCGACCCGGGTGGGAAACGAAATGGGTGTTCTGGGTCCGAGTCAGAGGTGGAGGAGGGTGGGGGGAAGACGACATGCATGAGCATGTGGTTGTGATGACGATGGCGACGGCGATGATCGTGATTGTAATGAGGATGATGAGGATATGTGCGATGCTCATCATGGGGATAATGACGTAATGTTAAAGCTGATAGCTGCTGACTGAGCTGACGGTGATGAAGGTACTAACGATGATGATGACGATGGCGACGACGATGATAATAGTGATGGTGGTGGTGGTGGTGATGATGATGACGACGATGCTGCTTCTAGTGATGATTCTTATGATGATGATAATGCTTCCGATGCGCATGCTGGGATGATGGTGGTGGTGGTGATGACGATGGCGAGGCTGATGGCCACGAGGAGGCTGACTTTGGTGATGGTGATGATGCTGCTGATGATGATAATGACGATGACGATGACGATGACGATGACGACGACGATGGCGACGGCGACGGCGACGGCGACGGAGGCGACGGCGACAAGGATGATGACGATGAGGAGGATGATGATGATGCCGATGATGATGATGATGCTGCTGCTGATGTTGATGATAATGCTGACGCTGATGCTGCTGATGCTGATGCTGATGCTGATGTTGATGATTATGATGCGGATGATGATGATGATGATGATGATGATGATGATGATGATGATGATGATCATGATGATTATTATGGTCATGCTGATAATGAAGCTGATTATGATGTTGATGATGATTCTGACGATTATGACGATGACGATGATGACGATACTGATGATGACGATAAAGATGCTGATGATGATGCTGATGATGTTGAATGTGATGGTGATTATGATAGTGATGTTGATAGTGATGATGATGATGCTGCTGCTGCAGATGATGATGATAGTGATGATGATAGTCATGACGATGCTGCTGATGATGATCATTATGAAGATGATAATGATGATGATGATGGTGATGATGATGATGATGATGATGATGATGATGATGCTGATGATGATGGCAATGCTGATGACGTTGCTGATGGTGATGATGATTGTGATGGTGAGGATGATGATGCTGATGCTGATGCTGATGATGATGCTGATGCTGATGGTGACGATGATGCTGATGCTGATGATGATCATTATGATGATACTGTTGCTGTTGCTGTCGCTGATGACGATGATGATGATGCTGATGCTGATGCTGCTGATGCTGCTGATGACAATGATGATGATGATGATGATGATGATGATGATGATGATGATGATGATGAGGAGGAGGAGGAGGAGGAGGAGGAGGAGGAGGAGGATGAGGATGAGGATGAGGATGATGATGGTGATGGTGGTGGTGGTGGTGGTGGTGGTGCTGGACGCGGCGGCTTACGCGGGCCGCCAGCGTGGCACGCTACGTGGGAGACTAGGACGCTTACGCGCGACCTGACGCGGGCAGCTTACGCGCCTATGTCGGCGCAGACGACCCTGTATTCTTGCGTCGCTCACATGAGGAGGAAAGACGGTGATGATGATTATGATGATGATGATTCTGATAATGCTGATGATGATGATGCTGATGATGCTGACGATGATGATGATCATGATGATGATGATGCTGCTGCTGATGATGATGATGATGATGATCATTATTGTTATTGTTATTATTATTCGCTGCTGCTGATGATGATGATAATGCTAATGACGGTGATGGTGATGGTGTTGGTGATGGTGATGCTGATGATGATGATAATGATGATGATGATGCATAAGAAGACGAATGATGATCATGATCAGAAGAAGACGAATACTACTAATAATAATAAGGTGGTGGTGGTGGTGAGGAGGAGGACTAGGAGGAGGAGGAGGAGGAGGAGGAGGAGGAGGGATGATGATGATGATGATGATGATGATGATGAGGAGAGGAGGAGGAGAGGAGGAGGATGAGGAGGAGGAGGGAGGGAGGGAGGAGGGGAAAAGACGGGAGGAGGAAGGAGGAGAGAGGAAGTAGGAGTAGAGTAGGAGTAGGAGTAGGGTAGGAGGAGGAGGAGAGAGAGGAGGAGGAGGAGGAGGAGGAGGAGGAGGAGGAGGAGGAGGAGGAGGAGTAGGAGGAGGAGGAGGAGGAGGAGGAGGAGGAGGAGGAGGAAACAAACAAAAATATCCAACTGCGTCCTCAAAGGTGACTTCAGGGGGGCTAGCGAGGACGAGGGCGGCGGCGGCGGACATCGGCATACAGAACCAATGCCGACACCATCTTCGCGCCGCTGCCGAGGGCTGTCGAGGGCCCAGCGCCGCGGGGTGCCGCCGAAGGCCGCCGCGGGACCTCCGATGGCCGCCGAAGGCTTTCGGGGGTCTGCCGAGGGCCGCTGAAGGCCGCGCGGGGGCCGCCGATGGCCGCCGAAGGCCGCGTGGCGGCCGCCGGCGGTCGTCGCTCAGGGCGTCTGGGGGCCGGTGTCCACGCGGGCGGCAGGTACCCACTCGCGGCGGCCATCGCCGCCGAGGACAGCCCGGTGGGCGGCTCTCGCGGGAGGCCGCCGCCGCCGCCGAGACCACCGCCGAAACCGCCGCCGCCGCCACCGCCCGCCGCCGCCGCCGCCGCCGCCGCCGCCGCCACCGCCGTCGTCGTCGTCGTCGTCGTCGTCGTCGTCGTCGTCGTCGTCGTCGTCGTCGTCGTGGTCGTCGTCACTGTCTTCTCTTCTTCGTCCTGGTCGTCGTCGTTCTCTTCGTCGTCGTCGTCGTCGTCACTGTCTTCTCTTCTTCGTCCTGGTCTTCGTCGCTGTCGTCGTCGTCGTTGTCGTCGTCGAGTCGTCTTCCTGGCGGTGGTGGTGGTGGTGGTCGTCGTCGTCGTCGTCGTCGTCGAGGCTGGTGGCGGCCGTGTTCTCCATGCAGGGCTGGGGCATGCTGCTCTCGTGCCTGCTGTCGCTGCTGCTCCTGGCGGCGGGGCTGCCGCTGGAGCACATCTGGCGGCTGCTCCTAGTCGTCGGCGCGATCCCCCCCGCGGCGGTCATCTACGCCCGGTCCAAGATGGAGGAGTCCGAGCTCTTCCTCGCCGCGAAGGAGGGTGCGACTTCGGCGGGCGCGGGCTCCGCCTGGCAGGCCATCCGCAAGTACTGGCACCCCCTGATCGGCACCACGTCGACCTGGTTTATCCTCGACGTCACCTTCTACGGCACGGGCTCCTTCAAGACCCGGATCGGCAGCTTCCTGATGGGCTCGCGCGCCTCGAGTCCGCGGGAGGAGATCTGGGACGAGGCCGTCTTCGCCTCCGTCTGCTGTTGTCTGGCGATCCCGGGCTATCTCCTGGCCGTCGCGTTCATGGACAGGAGCCGATTCCTCCTCCTCCTCCTCCTCATCATCAGCAGCAGCATCAGCATCATCATCATCATCGTCATCATCATCATCACCATCATCATCACCATCATCATCATCATTATCACCATCATCATCATCACCATCATCACCACCATCATCATCATCAGCAGCATCATCATCATCATCATCATCACCATCATCATCACCATGATCATCATCATCATCAGCAGCATCATCATCATCATCAGCAGCATCATCATCATCATCATCATCATCATCACCATCATCATCACCATCATCCCTCATGTGAGCTACGCAAGGATATGGGGTCGTCTGCGCCGATATTGGCGCGTAAAGCTGCCCGCGTAGGGTCGCGCGTAAGCACCCTCGTCTTCACTGTAACGTGCCGCGCAGGCGGCCCGCGCAGGCCGCCGCGTGAGGCCGCCCGCGCAAGCCGCCGCAAGACCCCTTTTTGGTCGTCGCTCCTGTGGTCGCTCCTGGTCCCCTGATGACGCGCATGATGGGCCTGTTTTCCACCACCACCATAACTTGGAGGGGGAGGGGGCTCTCCTCCTCCTCCTCCTCCTCGTCCTCCTCCTCCTCGTCCTCCTCCTCCTCCTCATCCTCCGCCTCCGCCTCCGCCTCCTCCTCCTCCTCCTCCTCCACCCGCTCCACCACGGGCGCCAGAGTTGGCCCCCCTCCCCCATCACCCAGGGGCACCCGTGGGTGCACAAGGGGGCTTCGAACAAAAAAAAGAAACAAAACGTCGTAACGTCGCCGCTCGCCGCTTCTGGGCAGCAGGCGCTTGGCGCTCGCGGCGCCCGCAACCAGCCACATCCAAGATCCGGCACAACAGTAAATGAGAGAGGGCAGGGACGAGGGAGAGGACGGAGGGGGAGAACCAGAGGCAGAAACGACGGGAGCGCGGCCATGGGGTGTGAGCCACCAAACCCCACCGTTAGGCGCGCGCGCTCCCGGCACTGGGGCTACGAAGCAACGAAGCTCCTCCTCCTCCTCTCCCTCCTCATCCTCCTGCTCCTCCTCCCCCTCCTCCTCCTCCTCCTCCTCCTCCTCCTCCTCCTCCTCCTCCTCCTCTCCTCATCCTCCTGGAAAGCAGGCCCATCAACGCAGCCGTTCCGCCCTCCGCGCAGGGGTCACCGCCAGCGTTCGCCGGGGAGCGCCGCGCGCGCCAGCGGTTCCCCTGCCGAGAGGGCCGCCGTTGGCTGCCGAAGACCACCGCGCCTTACCGAAGAAGGCCAGAGGCTGCCAGGGTTAAGTCGGGCCTGTCCCTCTACAGGGGGGATATTCAAGAGTAGTCAAAAAATAGGCTGGGGACGATGTTTGGAGTACCTTTTGACCACCTTGGAGTTTTTTGGGGTGTTTTTATTTTTCAATTTTTCGTCCACAGTCCCCCTGTAGGGGGACAGGCCCGACCTAATGCCAGGGACCGCCGAAGACCGCCAGATGCTGGGCCGATGGGTGCAGAGGGATTCGTGGTCGAGCCCGTCTGCTCCCCGTGCTCGATGCCTCTCGGTCCTCCGTCCCTCCTCCCTCTCCTCCCCTCGCCTCTCACCCCGCCTTCGTGGACAGGATCGGCCGGTACAACCTCCAGTTCTGGGGCTTCCTTGCCCTCGCGGCGAACTTCTTCACGATCCCGCCGCCTGCGGCGAGCCCGGCCGCCGTGCCAGCGCAGCGTCGAAGGGCAGACCGGGCGGGTCTGCCGAGCGCACCCCCGGCAGGAGGAGGAGGAGGAGGAGGAGGGGGAGGAGGAGGAGGAGGAGGAGGGCGAGGGAGGAGGGGAGGAGGGGGAGAGGGGGAGGAGGGAGGGGAGGAGGGGGAGGAGGAGGAGGAGGAGGCTCAGGGGGCAGGCCGGGGAGCGGCGCCACGACGCTGCAGTGGGGCGTGGCCGTGACAGCGCATAGTTCTTGCGCTGCCTCATGCCGAGACAGCGAAAGCCCACCCCCACCCCCAGTCCCGACGCCTTCCCCCGAGCCCGCGATCCGGGGGGGTCGGGACTGGGGGTGGGGGCGGGTTTTCTTTATTCCTTGACCCCGAAAACCCACCCCCACCCCCAGTCCCGACCTCCCGGATCAAGGGTTCGGAAATGGGGTCGGGCTGGGGGTGGGGGTGGGTTTTCGCTTTCTCACATGCCTTCGTTGTTTGAGGAGTGTTCGGTGCTTACTGTTTTTTTTTCTGCTGTTGCTGTGGGGCCTCTCCTGGGGCCCTCTTGGGGGACCTGTTGGGGTTGAGAAAACCATGTCCTCGTACAGTGCTGTTTCCATGATATCGTATAGAACATGTTCAAACAGCGTTTGCGAGAAATGTTTATGTTGAACGTTTTCCGCGAATTATCAAAAGGGTTCGTTGGGTTTCTTGTGTTAGTGCCGATGTTAGCAGAGCGTGTCGGAGCCCCAGCACTGTCTTTCGACGGAATGGCCATTCGGACACCCAGACAAATATGAAAGCCAAATGGCAGTGGATGATATGGAATTGAAGGGGGAGGAGGATTATTCCCCAATCAGAGCATGCCTCTGTAGGGGTCATAGCATGTTCATATGGTCAGGTGAGGTTTGCCACCGATTTCCGCGGCCCGCCCGGGTGCCTGGGTGCCCGGGTGCCTTATAGCCCTACAGCCCTATAGCCCTATAGTCCTATAGCCCTGTAGCCCTATAGCCCATTAGTTTATAGCCCTACAGCCCCATAGCCCAATAGCCCTATAGCCCTATAGTTCAATAGCCCTAGAGTCCTGTAGCCTTGTAGCATCATAGCCCCATAGCCCTATCGCCTTAGAGCCTTAGTGCTCTATAGCCCTATAGCCCTATAGCCCTAAAACCCTATAGCTCTATAGCCCTAAAGCCCTATCACCCTGTATCCCAATCGTCCTATAGCCACAGAGCCGTAAAGCCCTATAGCCCTATAGCCCAATAGCCCTATAGCCCTGCAGCCCTATTTCCCTATGGCCTTATAGCCTTATAGCCCTATAACCCTATAGCCCTCTAGCCCTATAGCCCTATAGCCCTATAGCTCTATGTGCCTACAGACCTATAGCCCTATAGTCCCATAGCCCTATATCCCTATAGCCCTATAACCCTACGGTCCTATAGGCTCATAGCCCCATAGCCCTACAGACTCATAGCCCTATGGCCCTATAGCCATATAGCTCCATAGACCCAGTGACCCATAGCCCCATAGCCCTATAGCCCTACTGCCTTCTAGCCCTATGGGCCTATGGATCTATAGCCCTATAGTCCTATAGACCTCTAGCACAACGGCCCTATAGCCCTAGAGTTCCATAGCCCTATAGCCCCATCGCCCTGTAGCCCAATAGCCCCATAGCCCTATTGGACTAGAAAGTCTTTGATCGAGGTTTGCCACCGTTTTCCGCGGCCCGCCCGGGTGCCCAGGTGCCCGGGTGCCTTATAGCCCTATAGCCTTATAGCCCTATAGTCCTATAGCCCTGTATCCCGATGGCCCTATAACTTATGGCCCTACAGCCCCATAGCCCAATAGCACTATAGCCCTATAGTTCAGTTGCCCTGTAGACCTGCAGCCTTGTAGCCTTATAGCCTTCTAGCCCTATAGCCCTATCACCTTATAGCCCTAAAGCTCTATAGCCCCATAACCCCATAGCCCCATAGCTCTGTAACCCTATAGCCCTACAGCCCTACAGTCCTATAGCCCAGTAGCCCTATAGCCCCATCGCCGTAAAACTTTATAGCCCTATAGCCCTATAGCCCAATAGCCCTACAGCCCTCTAGCCCTATAGCCCTATAGCCCTATAGCTCTATGTACCTATATCCCGATAGCCTAGAAATCCCATAGTCCTATAGCCCTACAACCCTATAGCCCTATGGTCCTATAGCCTTGTAGCTCCATAGCCCTATATACTCATAGCCCTATGGCCCTATAGCCCTGTAGCTCCATAGCCCCAGAACCCCATAGCCCCATAGCCCCATAGCCCTATAGCCCTACCGCCCTATATCCCTATGGGCCTATAGCTTTATAGCCCTATAACCCTACAGACCTCTAGCACTACAGCCCTATAGTCCCATAGTTCCATCGCCCTATAGCCCCATCGCCCTATAGCGCAATAGCCCCATAGCCCTATAGCCCTGACAAGACTTTGATCGGGTTTTTCTCCAATATCGTGTTACTACGGCGATTATTCTTTTAGGTCAATGGTGTCTCGGGCGCGGGGTCTCCGGGTGAATGGTGTCTCTCGGGATTTCTAGGTCAATACTGTCTCGGGAGGTCCCTAGGTCAATGGCGCCTCGGGCGGGGAGCCTTCGGGAACCCGAGAAGCCTCCGAGTCTCAAGGGTGACCCCCTTCCGCGAGGCTCGCGAGGGGAGTGCGGCGCGAAGGCGCCGAGCGAAGGCCCTCTCGGAGGCAATGGAGGCCGAGGAGCGTGCGGCTGCCGCGGCCCGGGAGGCGGCGAGGCCGAGGCGGCGTCGCCGACGGAGTCCTTGACGAGGGTACAGAGCCACAGGGTTGCGAGGCCATCCGACCGACGACATGGGATGCGGCGCCCTCTCGGTGGCAGGAACCGGAGGGGATGCCCGCGTGTTCGCTGCAGCCGCAGCCGTCAGCGGATTGCGAGGCGGCCGCCTCCGCCAAACCCGCGGTGGCCAGCCTCGGGGCGCAGCGCGGCGGGGTGGACGGTTGCGACCTCTGCGACGAGCTCGGCCGCCGTGGTCACGGCGAAAATCGTCGGACGATATGCAGGAGTGCCACGGGCCGCGCCCCCTGACCAGCGACGCTGTGGACCAGCGCGTGGAGGATCTCCGCCAGCGCGACGCAGAGAAGGATCTTGAGATCGGGTCTGTCTCGCCGATGATCTCGAGTGGGTCGGGGGGCGCCGTCATCTTGACGGCAACTTGGAGGGCGTCGGTGACCGCGACAAGCGGGGCCAGGTGCGCGCGGACCACAACGAGCGATGCCAGCTGCTCTCGGACGGCAGCCGCGACAAGTAGGACCAGCAGCGCTTAAAGTCCAACAGTCAGCTCAATTCGGGGCGCAACTTCGACGAATTCCAGCTCGGCGAGGGGCGCGGGGGCCGCTATTACCAGCGGGGCCCGCATCGGGAGGAGCAGCCGCGGATCAGCTTCGTGCAGGGCCGCCCTGGGCCGCTCGGCCCGTCGGGAGACGTGCTTCAGTTCAGCTCGTAGAATTCGCCGTGCTGCAGCGGGCCCGCGCCGTGGGCGCGCGGGAGTTCGACGAGGCCATTATCGTGGACAAGCTGGCGCGCGCGGCCGCGCGTTTCAACGATCGCGGCGCGCAGCGCCGAGATTGTCGACTCATGGCGCGAGGGGCGGCGCGCGCCTCGGCGGCCGGCGAGATTGAGGCGCTCCGCGGCGCTGTTGGCGCCGTTGGCGGGGCCGTCTCTTCGTCGACATCGCGGTGGGTCAGTCAGATGCAGCGGGCCCCTGGGGAGGCAGCCCCGTCGTTGAGGTCGGCGCCCCCCTTCTTGGCGGCGCAGGGGCGGGGCCGGCTCTGCGCTCGCGGCAGGTTTTTTTCATGGGCGGCGTCGCTGGTGCATGCGCCGTGGCTGCTTCGTGGAACGCGAGGGCTGGATGGGAGGGGGCGGGTGTGTGTGTGTGTGTGGCGTGGGGGGCGCTGGGGGCAGGAAGGGCGCAAATGCATCGAGGTGTTGTCGCGTGTTGAGGGGGTGCGCGTCGACTGACAGTGCGATAATATGATCGGGAGACGGCGGGTGGGGTCAAGGGGCGGCGCGAGCGAAGCCGCGATCGCGAACGTCGGCAACTGCAGCCTCCCATCAGTGTAACAGTTGCAATGGTTGTGAAGTTATAGGTGACGACGTCGCGTGCCCAGCGCGTGCGATCGTCGCGAACCCCCGTGCGCTGTCAGCGCTGCAGTTGCTCCGGCGATTTGCGATTTGCAGTAGCACTGAACTTCGAGGACTTCTACGGGCGGTCGAGAGCCGAAGTTCGGGTGTTGCGCGTGGTTTCTGTCTTGGGCTGCGCCGTGCCCGTTCGCCCGTGGTAGCTGCGCCTTCCACGGCGCGCGAAGCGATCTTGCGCGGCGTGCGTGAAGATCCCCCCAAAAACGCCTCTCGCGAGGGCCAGCGTTGGCGACAATAAGATTCAAAGCGCTTCATGTTGCTGAAACTTTTTGCCGCAGCGGCGCATCGTCGGACACATCGATTCGCCGCGAGTGAAGGGAAATCGCCACTTCCAAGAATTTTCTGCGGGAAGGCCTGTGCCAGGCCGTGGTTTTCTCAATCTTCGGGCCTGTTGGGGGCAGTTCGAATTGTTGATTGCTCTGCTGAGCTCAGCCGAAAGGGGCTCCGTGGGGCATCTTGGGGGTGTCTTTGGGGCCGTCCTGGGTCCCTCCTTGGGGGCGGTGTTCTGTCGTCTAGGGAGGGTTCCCTGGCCGTTGTATGGTATTTTCTTAACCGTCTCGGTAATCAATTGTTATTGTGAAGGCATTGAGGCCGGTGCCGCCGACCCTGCCGGAGGCCGACGACGACAAACACGACGGCGGCGTCGACGACGACGACGACAACGGAGATGACCTCGACGGCTCTCTGGCCGTCTTGGTGTCGTCTCGATCCTCGGTAGTCGTGTGGGATCCTTTTGGCATTCTTGGGTTTTCCTGTAGGCCTGCCCGGTGCCATATCAAACCGGAGTTTTTTGGGAAAATCCACACGTCAAAACCTGGAGTGTTTATGAAATCCTGACTTCTCCTGGGGGCATCAGGGAGTTTCTTGAGGTCTCACGGGGGCATGTTGGTGACTCTGGGGGGTCGTGGATCCAGCTTCGTCTGGTGTCGTGGGGTTCGGCAGCCCTGTCTGGGCGGTCTTGGACCGTCTTGGAGCTGCGTCGAATCCAAGGGCGCTGGGTAGCGCAACGTGTTTTACGGTTCAGGCGCGCCTGCGCCGAAGGTGTTGGGAAACTACAGAACCCGACCAGGCAGCTTACAGACATTCTTAGGGGCCCCAGCGTGCCGAGGGCACGGTGGCGGATCGCCGGGGTTTACCGCGACGATTTGCCGGAGGGCGCCCGTTGGGGCCTGCTGGTGTGCTTCGGCCTCACGTTCCTCTTCTCGAATTTCGGACCGAACACGACCACCTTCGTGATCCCCATCGTCGGAAACCGACACCTGCCCACGACCACTGGCCCTAACAAGGCCCATCCTGGGCCTTGGACTGGTGTACGTCGGCTTTCGTGGGCCAGTCCAGAGCGGCCTGTAGCATCAGTCCAGGGCTTGGGATGCACCTTTTCAGGGTTGATGGTGGTGTAGTGCGGTCGGCTTCCGATCCATCGAGACATACCCGACCCTCATCCGTGCCACCTGCCACGGCGCCTCCGCCGCTGCAGGCAAGCTGGGCGCGGTGGCGGGCGTGGTCGCCTTCGCGCCGTGCGAACAGGCCTTGCGGCGGCGGCGGCGGCGTCGGCCACAGTGGTAATGCGGACGGCGACGAAGAGGACGGCGGCGGCGTTCGCGACGGCGGTGGGATTTGTGTCTATCCGTAAGGGTTTCGCCCCCTGCCGCCAGGCTCCTCTCTCAGAGAATGTGCCATGTAAGAGCGAACTCATGAGGCTTTGGCTCCGCCGTGAAGCAGTGTCGGGACGTGTTTGTTTTTCGACCCTGACCTTACGGATCTGCGTGAGGGGTGCCGCCGGATTTCAGACATGTGGCAAATCCCATGTGTTTTGGGACCCTGACTCTACGGATCTGCGTGAGAGGTGCCACCGAATTTTAGAAAAGTTGCCAATTCCCTATGTTTTTGGACCCTGAGCCTGCCGATCTGCATGAGGGGTGCCACCGAATGTTAGAAATGTGGCAAATCCTAAGTGTTTTTGGACCCTGACCCCGCCGATATGCGTGAGGGGTGCCGCCGAATTTTAGAAATGTGGCAAATCCCTTGTGTTTTTGGACCCTGACCCGGCCGATCTGTGTGAGGGGTGCCGCCGAATTTTAGAAATGTGGCAAATCCCTTGTGTTGTTGGACCCTGACCCCGCGAGGGGTGACAGCGAATTTTAGAAAAGTTGCAAATCCCCTGCGTTTTTGGAACCTGACCTCGCCGATCTGCATGAGGGGTGCCACCGAATGTCAGAAATGTGGCACATCCCATGTGTTTTGGACCCTGACCCCGCCGATCTGCGTGAGGGGTGCCACCGAATTTCAGAAATGTGGCAAATCCCGTATGTTTTTGGACCCTGACCCCGCCGATCGGGTGTTAAAATAAACGTTTTGGGCCTCCCCCCCTCGCGCGGTCCATCAACAAGTAACAGTAAGCAGCAAGAAGTCAACAAGGAACAGTAAGCAGCAAGAAGCAGAACTGTAACAGTGGAAACTGGAAACTGCATCTGGTACAGGAAAGTGCGAACCTCCGGCTTACAGTCTGGTGGCCCCGCAAGGGGGCCGGCGGATTTATTTGCGTGTCCCTGGGCCCTTCCAAATGCGCGTATACCTCGTTCAGCCTCCCCAGTAGTAGCACGCAGCCTATGCCGGTCCTCCCCGTGGTCCGACGTGTCAAAAGAAGACCGCATCGCAGGAAATCACGAGTGGAGCCCCAGACCTCACCTTTTGCTGCATTTTTCGAGACGGATCGATCTGTGATGGTCCTGTGGCCTGAAGCTGGGCGAGAAGGCACGGGTCTTGAAAAAATGGCAGCGCCTGGATTTCAGGGCGTATTTACATCGCCTGCGTTGTAACGAAGGGCTTCGGTTGACAAGCACACGTTGGCGCTAGCACACGTACCCGCACCCCCGAAGCCATGATTCTTCCATGACTGGACCCCCACAGCTCTGGAGCCCCTCCCGGGGGCAGCTTTTTCATCCTGAGTTTTTTTGTTGACGGTCCCGGGGCCCGGCGAGGGCCCCTGGAGGCCGAAAACACAAAACCCCTCCCGTCGTTTTTTTTTCGCGGCGCGGCGGCGGCGATGACGGCGGCGGCGGCCCTTGCGGTGGCCCGTGCGCCGCGTGCGCAGCGGGCTCTCCCGGGCCGTCCCGTGGGTCCTCGGCGGCGCCGCGCCTGGCGCCTGCGGGCCGCCCTCGGCCGCCGAGGGCCCGACGGTCTTCGGGCCGCACCTCGAGCTTCCAACGACCACTGCGTGCGATCCCGGCACCCCCGGAAGGCCTTCGGCGAGGTGCCGCCGTCGGAGAGCTGCACAGAGCGAAGAAGCCTCCGCGGGCCTTCCGCGGCGCAACGCCGCGGAGCAGAGCGCCGCAGGGCAGAGCGCCCTCCGCCGCCTTCCGCCGCCTTCCGCCGCCTTCCAGAAGCCCGCGGAGCAAAGCGCCTTCCGCCGCCCGCAGGCGTTCGGGCTGCGGGCCGTGCTGGGCTTCTGCGGCGCCGTGTGCCTGGGCGGCGCCGCGGTCACCTTCTGCTTCACGCGCGAGCCCGTGGAGGACCTGCGCGAGCTGGATGCCCTCGGGCCCGCGCCGCGCTGAGCGCGGCTCCTGCTGGTCGTCTCTGGCCGTAGGGCCGCCGCGCGCGTGCGGCTTCGGCGCGCCGTCGCCGTGGCCGTTGCCGTCAGTCGTTCGTTCGTTCGTTTGCTCGTTCGTCGTCGTCGTGCCGTCGCCGCTGTCTTCGTTGTCGTTGTCGTGGCGTCGTGCCGTCGGAGAAGGGCGAGGATGAGAAGGAGGTCCTGCACAAGGAGGTTGACGAGAAAGGTTAACAGAGGAGGGGGAAGAGGAGGAGGAAGGGGAGGAGGAGGAGGAGGAGGAGGAGAATGAGGAGGAGGAGGAGGACGAGGAGGAGGAGGAGGATGAAGGATGATGATTAGTAATGTTGAACTTTTTCGGCGTTTCCAAAGGTTATTACTTCCTTTTGATGATGGTGCGGGAGGTTCTTAGCTGTTTCTGGAGGGGAGGGGGAGTAGGAGGAGGAGGAGTAGGAGGAATAGAGGAGAGGGATTGGGCGGCGGATGATGATGATGAGGAGGAGGCTGTAGAGGCGGAGCACGAGGAAGGGTAGACGGAGAGAGGACGGAGGAGGAGGGGGGAGGGGGAGGAGAGGGAGGAGGAGGAGGAGTGTATTGGAGATGGATGGACGGATGGATGGACGGATGGATGGATGGATGGATGGAGGAAGAAGACGATTATCGTAATGATGGTGGTGATGATGATGCTTGTGATGATGATGCTGATGGTGATGGTGCTGAGGATGGTGATGATGGTGGCGATGATGATGTTCTTGATGATGCTTATGACGAGGCTGATGAGAGTGCTTCTTTTAAACACGATATTGATGATGCTGATGATGCTGATGCTGATGCGCTGATGATGCTTCTGCTGACTATTAAGACGACGGCGATGGTTATGATGATGGTGATAATCATGATGACGACGATAAGTATGATGCTGCTAATGGTGCTAATGATGACGAGGATGATGATACGGATCAGCTTGATCATTCTGTTGCTGCTCATGGTGCTGCTGATGATGACGATGCTGAGGATGATGACGATGACGATGACGATGACGATGACGATGATGATTATGATGATGATGATGGTGATGGTGATGGTGATGGTGATGGTTATGGTGATGGTGATGGTGATGGCGAGGACGTTGACGAGGATGATTATGATGATGATGATCATGATGATGCTGTTGTTGATGATGATGATGATGGTGATGGTGATGGTGATGTTGATGATGCTGATGATGATGCTGATGATGATCACAATTCTGATGATGATGATGATGATGATGATGATGCGGTTGGTAAAGAAGATGAACCGTACGAATAATGATGGTGATAAGCGAACTTTCATGGCGATGCTGATTGCGATGATGATGATGACGATGACCATGATGATGCTGAAGAAGCTGATGACGATGATGATGATGATGATGATGATGATGATGATGATGGTGCTGATGTTCATGATGCTGATGATGATGCTGATGCTTGTGATGATGATGATGATGATGATGATGATGGTGGCGACGATGTTGCTGATGGTGATGATGCTGATGCTGATGCTGAGGCTGACGATGTTCCTGATGATGCTAATGATGATGAGGATGCTGACAATGACGATGCCGATGATGATGATGATGATGATGCTGATGATGATGATGATGATGATGATGATGATGATGATGATACCAATGCTAGAGAGGAGGATGACGATGACGACGATGATGATGCTGATGACGATGACGACGACGACAATGATGATGACGATGATGATGATAATGATGATTTTGATGATGATGATGAGGATGATGATTATGCTGATGCTGATGATGATGATGATGATGATGATGATGATGATGATGGTGCTGATGCTGATATGCTGTGATATGAGATGATGTGATCTGATATGGCATGCTCTATTTTACTATGAACGACTATCATATAATATGACATGATACGACATTAATTCATATGGCACCATACGTTGTGGCATTGCATTTTTATTGTATGGTGTTCTATGTAATCATATGATATGGTAAGGCATTACATGCTATGACATGTTATGCTATGGTTTGGTTTGATTTGAGATGTTATGATATGATAGGATATGATATGACAGGATATGCTATGGTATAGTATGGTATGGCATGGCATGATATGGTATGACATCATATGCTATTGCATGATATGCTATGCTACGATATGCTATGATATGGTATGATATGGGATGACATGCTAGGACATGCTATACCATACTACGATATGTTTTGCTATGCTATGATATGGCATGATGTGTTGTGACATGTTATGATATTTCATGATATGCTATGACATGACATGGCCTGACATGACATGATATGAGGAGGAGGAGGAGGAGGATGAGGAGGCGGAGGAGGAGGAGGAGGAGGAGGAAGCGTATGATGATTCAGGGGAGGCGGAGGAGGAGGAGGAGGAGAAGGAGGAAGAGGAGGAGGAGGAGGAGGAGGACTCAAGCGACTGGTCGGCTGGTCCATACGCCCCTTTTTCGGTTTCATTTTGGCCTCGCGATAGCTCCGAGCATCCGAGGCCGCTGCTTTTCTGCTCCTGGCGACGGCTCCGCTGGCCGCCTCACTGAACGGGTTGGCGACCCCCGACCGCTCTGAGCGGAATCTATGACTGACTGTTCATTTACTGTCGCTGTGCCTCCTCCCGGCCTCGTTCTGAGGCTGCGTCCCCCTTCTCCTTCCCCTTCTCTGCATAATGCAAGCTCTGCGCGGCCCGCTTAGCTTCGACCGGAAGAGGTGCGCGCTCGACCCGCGAATCAAAAAAACTGTTCATTTACTACTGCTCTTCGGTGAAAGAGGTGGAGGAGGAGGAGGAGGAGGAAGGAGGAGGAGGAGGAGGAGGAGGAGGAGGAGGAGGAGGAGGAGGAGGAGGAGGAGGAGCAGGAGGAGGAGGAGGATGGAGGAGGAGGAGGAGGAGGAGGAGGAGGAGGAGGAAGGAGGATGGAGGGTGCCAGGGACGTGGCGCCCTGGCCGGCCCCCGTGGCGGCTCGCGGTTTCCTCGCGCGCGCGCGCGCGGAGGCGTGCAAGAAGTACGACACGGAGGACAAGGCTCCCGCGGCACGGCGTGGGGTCTCCGCCAGCCGCCGACGCGTGGAGCCCGCCGTCGTGGCCGCCGTGGCCGTCGTGGTCGTGGTCGTAGTTCGGGTGGTGGTGGTGGTGGTGGTCGTCGTCGTCGTCGAGGTCGTCCCTGTGGCTGTCGTCGTCGCCCTTGTCCTCGTCGTCCTGGTCGTGGTGTGTGGTGTTTGTTTCCGTGGTGGTGGGCGTCGTCCGTGCCAGCGTGGTCATGGGGGTGGTCGCGGTCGCTGTGGTGGTGGTCGTGGTTTTTGCCTTCGTCGTGCTGCCTCCTTCGTCGTCATCCTCTTCCCTCCTCCCCACCCTCTTCCTCCCAGGACTCCCGACTGAGTCGGCTAGAGTTAATCCTTTATTCTGTCCTCTTCCTGGTCCTTCTTCTCTTCCATCCCTCCTCCGCCCTCTCTCCTCTTCCGCCCGTCTCGAACAGCCGAACTTCGCACTAGCTGCTGCACGCGATGGGCGTTTAGCCAGAGCATACCCCATACCCCCTACACCTGGCATTACCGGGCAAGCTATCTAACTGGTATGCTTCTAGACCAGTGATCTCCTTGCCTGCCTACTCCAGTATGTTTCTGCTCTTTTACGCTTGCGTTTTACCCACATGCGACTCCTACAGCCAGAAAAGCTGACACGCACCGAAATGGTCACACCCGCCGCAGCCTAACTAAGTGCAATTCGCCGATCTTGGTCTTCACATTCAATGTGTCATGTGGGATCAGTTCCCCCAGGGGCACGAACGTTTTCACAGGACTCGCAGCGCACGCTACCCGTTTCAATGGCCCACATCTTTGAGGCGTGGGGGCGGTCGCGCGGCGACACGACTGAGTCTGGCAGTCGGGAGTGGATGGGACACGCGCACACACAAACATCTGGTTCCTCCTCCTGCAGCGCTGCAGCAGCAGCCGGTGGCACACTAACACGACGCACTCGAGCAGATTGCCAGCGTGCGTCTGGTTCTTGCACTCGAACCAGATTGCACCCTTTTGGCCTCGCGCCCGCGCTCGCAGCGCCAAAGCGGGCGGAGGCAGGCAGAGTGGCCCGCCAGACAGCCGGACTCCTCCTCCTCCTCCTCCTCCTCCTCCTCCTCCTCCTCCTCCTCCTCCCCCTCCCCCTTTCCAGCGGCGGCGCCGACGGACGCTGCCGCGCGGGGGTCTGCCCTGCGGAAGCCGCGCCGGGTGCGAAGGCTGCGAGGCGGGAACTTATGCATGACCACCGCCTGGAGGATCGATTTTTGGGGGCCTCGGCAGGAGGTGGGCAGGGGCATCTTCGGGCCCCCAGGGGGCCAGAATATGGCCCCCGATCCACCGCCCGCCCCGGGCACCGCGACGTCGGTTCCCAGGCGGTGGGTATGGACAGGTCCCCGCCTCGCACAAGCGCAGGGGCAGGTGGAAGAGACTCCTCCCCCTCCTCCTCCACCCCCTCCCTGCCCCTCCCTCCCTCCTCCTCCTCCTCCTCCTCCCTCCTCCTCCTCCTCCTCCTCCCCCTCCTCCTCCTCCTCCTCCTCCCCCTCCTCCCCCTCATCCTCCAGGCGGCGGGCGAGGGAAGCGCAGGCGGCCTCTCGGGCACGGGGCACCGGTGCGCAGGCGGGGCGCTGGAGAAGGAGCCCTGTGCGCTGGGGAGGGGCTCCGTATTCGAATTCTCCATCATTGTTTCGCAGCCTGCCTCGTGTTTTTACGCATGGGACATGGCAGTCTTGACTTGTGGGCAGAAAAAGGGGGCTCGTTCTTTATTTGTACTTCCTTAGGTCAATGCCGGAGAAGGAGCCTTGTGCGTTGGGGAGGGGCTCCGTATTCGAATCTCCATCATTGTTTCGCAGCCTGCCTCGTGTTTTTACGCAGGTTTTCGATGGGGCATCGCAGTTTTGGCTTGTGGGCTGAAAAAGGGGGCTCCGAATTCTCAGAAGCTGAAACATATGCATTACCAGTGGCGGGCTGCTTCTCAATCCCAGAACTCTTTGAGGGTCGGGGGTGACGTCGGGGTGGTATGGTGTATACCTGTTTCCCAGTTTTCGTGTGGAAGCAACCAAAAATGTGTACACCAGGATGCCGTATACGCGAGAATCCGTTTTCTTTTGCGAATCTCAGTGCGGGACCAAAATAAAGCTTTGGTGTATAAAGTTCGGCTCCTTATATTCCTTCATTGTTTCGCAGCCTGCCTCGTGTTTTCACGCAGGTTTTCGATGGGACATCGCAAGTTTGAATCGTGGGCAGAAAATGGGGCCTCGTTCCTTATTTGAAGTTCCTTAGGTCAACGCCATCGCGCTTCGCTGGGGCAGAGAATTCCAGCGTACGCTTCCGAGGCACTGCGGGGTCGCGTCTGCACGAATCCAGTTCTAATGCACATGTGTTTCACGTTGCCATTTTTCCTGCCGATGCGCCGTCCAGGCGCGGCTCTGTGTGTGTGTGTGAGAGAGAGGTCAACGCCCCGACTGTGCATCAGGTGGAGCTTGCCGTCGGGGTGCGGGGCGGCCAGGCGAGGGCGTGCTGCCGTCGCCACGCGCCAGGGGGCGGAGGCCACCTGGCGGGGCATCGAGGGTGCGAGGAGCCGCGCGGGATGGCCAGGTCTGGGGCCGTCCACACTGCCAGGCCAGACGAGAGGTAACCAGACACAGCCACATTTTTTTTTGGGGGGGGGGCGTCGCGGCCACGCCCGTAGCTGCGTCATGGAGTCGGGCTGAAGCAGAACATTATTGATAGAAAGAACAATGATGAAGAACAGCCCCAATGGTAGTAAATCGTTTCAACACGACTTCGAATAATAGTAATACCAGTGAGAGAAGAGTACTATCTAATGGCCTTCGGCCCATCCCGCCACCGTGCCTGGGTTGTGGGCATGGAGCCTATTGGATGTTTGTTGGGATCTCGTGGGAGGCTTCTCGGGGGCCTCGTGGAGGCAGTTTGAACGCCTCTCGGGGGCCGTTTGGAGGCCTCGTGTGGCCTCTTGTGGCCCCTGTTGGGGGCCTCCTGGGGCCTCTTGGGTGTCTCTTGGGGGCCTCTTGGGGCCTCCATGGCGCCTCTTGGGACCTCCTGGGGGCCTCTTGGGACGGGAGGCTCGGATTCTCGGTTCTTGTTATTTTTTTTGGGCCCCTTCTGGGGCTGTCTTGGGGCCCTCTTGGGCCCTTTCGGGCGCCTCTCGGGCTGTCTTGGGGCCCTCTTGGGCTGCTTTGGGGCCCTCTTGGGGGCCTCTTGGGGCGGTCTTGGGGGCTTCTAGGGCAGTTTGGGAGCGTCGGGAGGCCGAACAGGCGAGAACGCCAACATCTTTTTAACACACGAGGAATATCAATGAGTTTGGCCTCTTGGAGCCCTCTTGGAAGGCCTCTTGGAAGCCTTTTGGAGGCCTCTTGGGCCGTCTGTGGGCCGTATGTGGGCCCGTCTGGAGCGTCTTGGAGCGATCGTTCGGCGACTCGAGGCCTCGCTGGACCGTCTTAGGGGCTTCTAGGGACCCTCTTGGCCCGTCTTGGGGCCCTCGTGGGCCCGAAAAGGTTACGCGACAGACCGCGCCATGCCCCAGGATATTTGGGCCGAGGGGTTCCCAACCCCTTAAGAACTCCTCGGGAGTGACGACTGAGGCTTAGAGGCTTAGAAGGGGTAGCGCGGGGACCTGAGGACACGCCCGCTCCGTGCCCAGAGGCGCCGTGGCGGATTGTGTATGACAACTGGTAGGGAACAAACATCCAGTACAAATAATGATCATAGTGATAATGTTATTGATAACGTAATCAATCATGGTATTACGACTGACAGTAGTAATGTTAATAATAATAACATAATTTGGCGCAGGCCACTTCGAAGCATGGGCATCCCGGCACAAACGCACAATCACACAAACACACAACTACACACAAATTCGGATTCACGAAGGAGGGTCTCATGTTTTTGAAAAATGTTTTTCAATCGTTGGTCCGACTGTACCCAGTCGCTCCGCACTTCACCAGAGTCAAGAATATCACTACCACCAGCTAGGGGGGTGGCTGTCCCACCATCTCGAGCTGGCGGCACCTCGTTTCGGGCATGCCTCCAGGGAGTTCCCGGACGGAGGCACCACCAGCTCGAGGGGAGGGAGCGGCCACCCCCCTAGCTCGTGGTAGTGTGTGTGTGTGTGTGTGTTGTTGTCTCTAGGCCTCGCGCACTGAGCCGCCAGGCGCTCTCGGGGTTTGGCTGGCGAGTTCGTTTTTTGTGTCGCTGCCGCCGCCTGGCGGGGCGTCCCGTCTTCGGATGGGGGGGCGAGGGCCCGTCCGAGGCCAGAGTCGTTGGCCGTCGTGCCGTCTGGCGCCGGACCCTAGACGTCCGAGGCTTAGAACAAATGGGTGCAGGGCCTTTTGGTGAACAGTACGTATGCACATACCTACAATTGTTTGTGTGTCTCTCTCTCTCTCTCTTTCTCTCACTCTCCCTCTTTCTCTCTCTCTCTCGTTCTCTCTTCTCCCATGTTATATATTTATACGGTATATACGTGTATGTATATGGATATGTATATGTATATGTATATGTATATGTATATGTATATGTATATGTATATGTATATGTATATGTATAGGTGTAGGTGTATGCATATGTATATGTATATGCATATGTATATGTATATGTATTTGTATATGCATATGTATATGTATATGTATATGTATATGTATATGCATATGTATATGCATATCTATATGTATGTGTATATGTATATGTATATGTATATGTACATGCATATGTATATGTACATGTATATGTATATGTATATGTACCTGTATATATTTGTATATGTTTATGCATACATGTTTGTATACGTATTTGTACATATATATGTATATGTCTATACACATATATATATACATGTATATGTATATGTATATGTATATGTATTGGTATTTGTATTTGTATATGTACATGTATATGTATCTGTATATGTCTATGTTTATGTTTATGTGTATGTAATTGTATTTGTATTTGTATACGTATATGTATGTTTTTATGTATATATATATATATATAGATGTACATGTATATGTTCATGCATATGTATATTATATATATGTATATGTATATGTATATATGTGTATATGTCTATGTTTATGCATATGTAATTGTATTTGTATATGTCGTTCTATTTGTATATGTATATGTATATGTATATGTATATGTATATGTATTTGCACATGTATATGTATATGTATATGTATATGTATATGTACATGTATATGTATATGTTTATGTTTATGTATATGTATATGTATATGTACATGTAAATGTATATGTATATGTATATGTATATGTATATGTATATGTATAGGTATATGTATATGTATATGTATGTGTATATGTATATGTATAGGTATAGGTATTTGTATATGTATGTACATATGTATGTGTATATGTATATGTATATGTATATGTACAGGTATATGTATACGTATATGTATTTGTATATGTATATGTGTATGCATATGTATATGTTTGTGTATATGTATGTGTATATGAATATGTACGTGAATCTGTATATGTATATGTAATTGTGTATGTGTATGTGTATGTGTATGTGTATGTGTATGTGTATGTGTATGTGTATGTGTATGTGTATGTGTATGTGTATGTGTATGTGTGTGTGTATATATATATATATACACGCACACCCTTTGCTCTATTTTGATAACCTGGGACTCTGCGGCCCCCCCTAAACGGGACCCTTCCATATCCCTGGCCCCAGTGGCACGCTGGACGCCCTTGCGGACGGTCCCCTGCGCTTCCTGGGGCTCCTGAACCAGGGTGACCTGGCGGCCCCCGAAGAGAACCCACATAGGCCTCAGACACTTATCAGAAGTCCGACAACGACCCGAATAAGACCCCCAAAAGTTTTCGAAACGCAAAAGCGGCGATATACTCTGCTCCATATCGCCCCACCGTCACGAAGTGCCGATTCTGGCGGACCTGCCTGGCGCACATGGCGCAGCCAGCGCAGATGGGCTACGCGTACGGCGCCCCCACGCAGCAGGTGATGGCCGGGGACCTTTGCAGGGGCGCCTCGAGGGTATTCGTCAAGTAGGATGATGTCCCCGTCCTCTGCTGCAGCAACGAGGCGAAGCAGCGCTACCGGATCTCCGTCCCAGTCGGCGACCAGGAGGGACAGCCATTCCTGTACACCACGGAGGACTCGGATTATTGCATGCGAAGCTTCTGCCCAGTGAACAGGGGCCTGAAGCTGAAGGTGCACAATGGGCCTTCGAAGGACTACCCCGTCGTGCAGACGATCCATCAGCCGTGCTCCTGCGGGCCCGTCTTCACCGCGCCTTGTCCGCACTGCCGGCCCCAGTTCGCGGCAGTTGTGAGAGACCCCATGTATGTTGTCGGGTCGATCGAAGATCCGTGCCACTGCTGCATCAAGGGGCAGAGGGTGAGGGATGCGCGTGGCGCCGAGATGTTCTCGGTCTCCGGTTGCATAAACCAGTGGGGCCTATTTTGCCCGTGCCGTGTGCCCGTGAGATTCGATGCCAGCAAGGGCGGGACCACGGTTGGAGGCGTCGAGCGGAAATCATTGCCGTGCAACGATCTGAGGAACAACCGTTTCATGATAGATTTCGGACCGATCAACGAACCTCTTCGACCAGCAGGACTTCGTGGAAGGGCTTCGCCTGCGACTCGGTGCCGCTGGCCCCAGCGAGCCCGCGCCCTGCAACCTCTGCGGCACGGAGCTGCTCGAATCCGCGGGCTCGCACGCTCTCTGCTGCAGCAGAGCCGAGGCTACGAAGGGCCACCACGCGCTCGCACGGCAGGTGTATGAGGTCGCCAAACCCTGCGACCCCGCCACAAAATTCGAGGCGCAGAACCTCATCCCGGGCACCCGCTTGCGGCCTGCGGACATGCTCACGGGGGCGCCGGGGCACGGGCTCACGGCGCTCGACATCGGGATCGCCTCTCCCGACGCGTGCAACGCCGGCCTGGACTGCGTCTCCAGCATGTACGAGAGCAAGACGGCGTACTACGCCCCGTACACCGACGTTCTGGACCGCCAGAACATCCTGCACCAGCCCATGGTCTGGTCCGTTCACAGGCGGCCCCACCCCCGGACGACATCAATCCTCCGCACACTCGCGACCCGCCTTGCCCGGCGGAGGGGATGCTCGGACGGGGCGTGGCGGTGCCGCCGCCTGGCGAGCGCGGCTGGAGTGGCGCTGTGCCGGCGGGCGGCCGCCCACGTCCGGGCTTGCTGGCCCGGCGGGGGCGCGGACGACTGAGCGCCCCTCCCCTCCCCCGCCCGCCCTGCACGTTCCGTGCCCCCCGTTCCGCCTTGCCCCTCCCGCTGCCTTCTGGCTTGCCTGCTTGCTGCCCTCCTCCTATTCGGGGCCTGGAGTCCGCGCTGGCGCTCAGTGGACCCGGCGACGTAGCTGCTTTCTCCTCCTTCCTCCTCCTCCTCCTCCTCCTCCTCCTCCTCCTCCTCCTCCTCCTCCCCTCCTCTTGCTCCTCCTCCTTTTTCCCCCTTTTCCTCCTCCTGCTCCTCCTCGTCCTCCTCCTCCTTCTGCTTCTCCTTGGCTGGCGTCCTGCCGCGGCCGTTTCGCTAACCGCCCAGTCCCGCTTGTCTTCTTCTCGCGCCTGCGGCCCGCGCAGCGGGAGGGGGGAACGCGCTGCTTCTAGTGTGCTCAGTCTCTTTTTCAAGCCCTGGTTCACTTCATGAGTTTGCCGATGGCGGGTCGGCCATAGGGGTTCTCCTGGTTTGCCTGGCGAGTCATTGCGGCCCTCCTCCTCCTGCTCCTTCTGCCTCCTCCTCCTCCTCCCCTTCTCCGCCCAGTTTCACCGATGCTAAACGAGGTGAAATCGTATCGTTCCGCGCTTGCATGATGGCTTTCTGCTTTGGTAGCTGTGCTCATCCGCCGTCTCCTCCTCGTTCTCCTCCTCCTCCTCCTCCTCCTCCTCCTCTTCCTCCTCCTCCTCCTCCTCCTCCTCCCCCTATTCCCACTCCCGATGGAACCCGCTGGCTGCTGCTCTGCGCAGGGGGGGCGTGATTTGTCCGCCCCAGCCAGCCGAGGCGGGCAGTTTTTCAACTTCGATTATGGACGTAGCCTATCCTCGGTTTTAGGTTGGGGCCCACGACTACAGGCGAGGGCCAGGATGTTATACTATGCCCTATGGCATCATGTTAGGGCATGGTCGGTGTCCTGGCGAGAGCGTGCTGGGTACAGTTGCGGGACCAGCTTCACCGCTACCTAAACACAGCTGCGGCCAAACGGTTGCGGGACCGGTTTCGCCGTTACATAAACATTGCCGCAGCCAAACGGTTGCGGGGCGGGCTTCGCCGAAAGTCGAGCTGCCTGAGCACACCATGGTCAACGACCCCCAGGAGCGGCGAATAATGTTAGTTTCATCGATGCTCTTGGATTTTGAGTTCTTTGAGACTCTTCAGCAAGCGGCCACATAAGGGCAGTCCCTCACTCGGGGACAGGACATTGACCATGACACCCTGTTTGCAATTGCTACGGCGCACATTGCAGTGGATATCATGTAGGGCAAGTTCGCGACCCTGAGACGCGTCGTGCGAGTTGTTCGTTATGTTCTGGACGACGGCCCGCACAATTGTTGCATATGTGCGCGGCTCCCTGAGTACAGTAGCATCGTGGCACATGAGCGAATCACCAGGCGAAGCGGGAAAACAGACGAAAACATACCTCCATATGTTGTATTATCATTTCGAGGGTATCAGGGACTGGCAGCGTCTGGCGCCCGAGAGGAAAAAATAAAATAATAAAGGAACGCAGCTCATAAAACATGAGAAAAACCAGAATCTGTTGAAACGCAAAAAACATTAGTTTCCGATGGTTTTCGCATGGTTTTGGAAATTTTCTCAATTCTTCGGTTTTCTGGCCGTTTGAGTCTGTCCAAGAGGTTGGAGCACCGCCCCAAATCTAACCAAGAGGGCTTCCAGGCAGTCCAAGAGGAGCCCCCAGACACCCCAGCAGGGCCCCTAGATGGCCCGAGAAGAGCCCCATGACGGCCCAAAATGACCTCACGACGCCTCCCGCATCAGTCTAAATTGTGACCCGGTCGTTCAGGGAGACCGCGGTTGGAAGCAGGGTGGCCTGGGGAAACCCCCAGTGGCCCCCAGAAGGAACGCAGGAGGCTTCCAGAATGGCCCCAACAAGCCAGTGAAAACCTTTGTGGGACTTACAGCAGGCTCTCCTGGGATGAGACTCCACAAGAAGACCTGGGGATGGGGAAGGATAACGAACAACCTTATCACCGTCGGGGATCGAAGCAGATTCCCCAGCAGCGCACCCGGATAGCAGCAGGTGTGAAGAGGCGTGTCGAGGAGTAGGAGGTTGTCCATGAGGAACGGGTGGTAGCACTGCCATGTGCACCAGCGTGTAGTTCTTATGGGGATCGTGGCGGTCCGGACCAGAATGTGGTCCTCGGCTTCTGCTTTGCGGACTCTCCAGCGAAACGCTGTTTGGGAGCCGCAGCGCCGCATGCTTTGGAGGCGTGGCCTCTGGGCTGCCCGGGTGGTCGCTTCCTGATTCACTGTTTTGCCGATCGGTATGGGCCCGCGGACCCCCCCTCCAGCCCCCAGTGGAGTAGATCTGAGCTCTCTGGGGTGCCTGTTTCGAGCAGGGTGGAGCCCCTTCCCCACTGGGCGCACTGCCGCAAACCGCCGCATCGAGCAGAGGTCTGGAGCCAGACCCCCCCCCCTCCCCCTCCTCTTCCGCCCGATGCCTGCCGCAACGCCGAGTCAGAAAGCGCTGCCCTGCACCAGCGCACCGCTCAGGAGGAAAAGAAACGCACAGGCACAACTAATCCTCGATCCCACAGAAAGTATGGGAAAGTATGGGAAGTGGGGGGGGGAAGACAAAAAACCAAGAAAATATAGGAAAATGTGGGGAATCCTGCCATTTTTTTTTGTTGTTGTGTGTGTGTGTATATTTGTGTGTCCCAGGGCCCCTTCAACCGCGGGGGGGTCCGGCCGGCGGGCGCGCGGCGAGGTGACGCACTGCAGCACCGGCGGCGGCGCGTCTCTGGAGCTGCTAGAGGGCAAGGCCCCCCGCCGCCGCCGCGGCGCCGCGCGGGCGGGGCCGGGCGCGCCGCGGCTGGGCGCGCCGGGGGGGGAGGAGGCGGGGGCGAGAGTCGGAGGCGACGACTCTGGACGCCCGAAATGGGTACTGAAAGAATGGGTACAATGCCCAACAACAGTTCCTGTTCATTTTGAACAGGATTCGCTGTCCGCGCCGCCGCGGCCTGTGTCCATTCGAGACAGGAGGCCGCCTGCCCAACAGCGGCCGCTGTTGGCTTGGCACAACATTTGTTGTTGGGCATAGTGCCCATTCTTTCCGTACCCATTTCGGGCGTCCAAAACGACGGGGGCGAATACCCCGGTCGGAGGTCGATGGACTTGAGTCGGGCATGTCCCCCTACAGGGGGATTTTCGACGGGAAAAAAGTACCCCCAAGATGATCCAAAAAGTAGTCCAAGAAGAATAGTCCAAAAATAGTCAGGGGACTATTTTTGGACTATTTTTTGGCCTTTCTGGGGTATTTTTGGGGTATTTTTCATTTGTCGTCGAAAATCCCCCTGTACGGTAGGTTCGCGTCGTGTCGACCGGCGGCGACCCCGCCGCGGGCGTTCAAGGTTGAACGCCGCCAGTGGCCCAGAATCGGCCTATATGGAACGATCGAGCGATCCACAGTCGCCGATCGTTCAAGGTTGAACGATCCACGCGGAGTCAGAAACCAACGCCGGGGTCGTCACGACACGAACCTGACGTAGGGAGACGCGCCCGACATAATGATAGACCTCCTACCCTGACGCGTCGATAAGTGAACTGGCCATTTTTGTCGGTTCGCGAGAGGGCGTTGCGGCCGTTCTTTTTGCGGGTCCAGGTCCGTCGGTTTCGGTCCTAGGCCGCTCTCACTAAAGGGAGCTTTACTGACGGGAGGCTTGTCCACCGCGCCGACCCAGGGGGGGAGCAATAGACGTGTCCAGGGTTAAGTCGGACCGGTCCCTCTACAGGGGGAATATTCAAAAATAATAAAAAATTGTCAGGGAACGATTTTTCGGGTATTTTTTTTGACCATTTTGTGGTATCTTTGGACAATTTTTAATCTTTCGTCCAAAATCCCCCTGTAGGAGGACAGGCCCGACTTAAGTCCAGCGGCGCCGAGGGTCCGCTTCTCTGGCGAGGCTCCCCGGCGAGTGCGTGCACTGCCCGCCCCTGGGCCAACTTCGGCACTGTCGCCGCCCCGGAGGGTGGGGCGGCCAGGGAGGCAGGCTCAGGTCGGGCCGAGCGAAAGGGGGATAGGGAAAGGGGGGGTTACGAAGTTTGCTGCACGCAGCTGGTTTCGGCCCCGCCGCCTGGCCCATTCCTCGATAGATGGGCGCCTCCCGGCGCCGGGAGGCGCCGGGAAAATCAGCTACGTGAGCTGATTCTCCCCCCCCCCCGTTTGCTATCCCCCCCTTTCGCCCGGCCTGGCCCGATCAGGGGCGACGAAGTTTCGAGGTCCGGGGTCCAAGGTTTTCGGGCGTTTTCGTCGGT